GTCAAAGCCTCGCCGGTCGAAGGCCCCTGGCTCGCCCGCGAAGGCGGCCAGGCCCCGGCCTGGTTTTCGCGCCCGCGACCCGCCGAGACTCGCGAGAACACCTCCCGGATACAGGACAGACAAGAAGCCGTCTGCCGTCTGCCAACTTTCCTCGCGACGACGGCGACGCAGGAACCGCCCATTTCATCGGCGGCTTCGAGGGGGCAGATGCGCCGCGGACAAGCGCGAGAGCAGCAACAGCACGATCAGGAGGAGGGGGACAGGAAAGGCAGAGAGGGAAGGGGCCAAGACGGACCCGCGACACCCGAAACCCCGACAGGGGCGCCGCCGACAAACACGCGCGCGCCAAGAACGAAGGGCAAATAACACATCGAGCAAGAGGAGGAGAGGCGCGACGCGAAAGGAGAAGCAAGAGGCAAGAGAGGCAATTCTCCGTTGGCCCATGAAAACCTTTGCTAGAAGAGTCCATTTTTCTTCCGCAGACGTGTCGTCGCGCTGTCGCCGCGCGATCGTCGGCCCACCTCCGCGCGGGTCTCCCTGTCGACCCCTGCGCCGGCCACGGCTGCGTCGCCAGATCTCACTGAAAGACAACATTGCCCCATGTGCTCCTTCCTCTCTCTAGCGACGATTTGTCGCGCCCATTCTCATGTGAACCGTCTTGCAGAAGTCGCCCACTCTTCGAAGCACTCACTTGCTGAACGGCGCAAGCCGTAGCTCGTCCCACCCGTTCGCGCGCGGGCTCGCGATCACCAGGGCCGCGGCGGGAGCTGGGCGACGAAGTTGATTCTGTATAGGGGCGATCCGAGTTGGACTCCGACCCCCATTCGACTCCCCTGCCAAGCACTGACCCCGATCTGTCACCCACGCGCGCGCAACGTCATGGTACTCGAACAATCGCGCGAGCCATTCGTCTCTGAGCGCTGCGAAGTCGCTGTCTGGCGCTTTCTTGTCAGCGCCCACGATGATGAACAACGTGGAAACGTCGGATACACCGCTCTGCTGAATGGCCGCAACCGACTGTGGGGAGCAGAGAATCTCGATGCGAGGTCTAGCTTGGGCACCCCGAAGTTCCGCCCGGCTGCCTTACAAGTGCGCGCGTCCACCTCGATCTCCACCGATGCTGAAAATGTTGAAGATTCGGCCCAAGTGCCCCTTCGCCCCGCTGAGCGGTCAAATCTCAACGCGTAGCCCGCCGATGTCTGCGCGCCCCGGGTTTGTGCTTGAGGCGTGAGCGCGAGCATTGCGTCATATATTTGTCTTGTCTGGGTTGAGTTGGAAACCCGCTGCTCCAGCTGCAGCTTGAGTGAGAGATTCCCCCATCCACGCGACATCATGGGATTCGTCTGAATCGGACTGCATTCAAATCGCACCAGCCAGCCGCTCCTCTTTTGATTCCGGCGCGGGCTGAATCCGCCAGAACATATGCTCCGAAAGGCAATTCAACAACATGCAACTCCGCGGATCGCTGTGTCCTGCGCCTCGCTGTACGTTGAACTTCCTGCTGGGCCTGTCTATCTTGACAGATGCCGTCTGGTCGGAATGCAGGTCGGCGATTGACGATATGCACGGCTCAGGAATGCCTTGCGCCACCATGACTTCCAAGAAAAACCATGCAGTGCAATATCGACGGCGCTCCTGACATCGACCGTCGCTGCCCAGACAAGCACGCTGCCACTCAGGAAATCTCTTATGCCATGATCACGATGACCAGGTGACTGACAGCGCTAGAATGTTTGCGAAGTCCAGCTTGCTCGGGCGGCCGCTGGGCATCGAGTACGGGGGGGAACAACTCGCGCACCATTGGGACGAAGCTCACTGTCTGTCGTTCCTGGCAGATCCTCGGGCCCAACTTTGTGGGCAACGCTAGGTTGGGCGTGTCTCGATTTCTCCGGGGGTGCCACTCCAGGCTGCGAGACTGCTGACTGCAAACCCCGCAGATCTCGATCCAAATTCCGCCCACAATGTTTGAACATCTCTGATACAATACCTTTTGTGCCCGCTGCTTTCCCGTTTTTTCACATTGTACGTCGCCCATCGTGAAAGGCTGGATGAGCATCCCCTGAAAATCAGGCCCTCTGTCTTCTCGCCGTTGGCCACAGGAAGAAAAACATAACACATATTAGAAACGTCCACGGACATATCCGCAAACTTTTTTCGGCCGCGTGTAACGTGCCCATCATATCTACGCACGCACATGATAAACTCTTGGCCGTTGCCACTTTCTGATGCTTCTGATGCTGCCCAGCCCCTTGAACTCCACAAATGTCTGTTCGATCCGCTCCTTGCGTTTCAACCGCTGTTGCTGTCCCGTTTCCTTGTTGGAATCACATGCTGGATAACGAGCTACCTATAGTCGTAGCTTCCTGCAAACAAGCCGTTCCAATGACATATGAAAGCTTGCAATCGTGATTGTTGTTCTCGTAGTTCCACGGGTGGTTCTTCATCGCGGCAGGTGTTGACCATTGACTGGTGAATGGCGTTCTCGATCGCGTCGCAGTTCTCCTGCGCAGGACAACCCACATGTTTCTTGAACAGTGCATTTCCAAGTTTGGAAGTACCGATGTTTATGCACATTATGCACAATATGTTCGCAACTTAGTTTGTTCGGTTTCCAGTTCGGGCTCTTCTTTGCATGCCGCGACGCCAGCAAGATGGCACGTCGTAACCACACCGCTGTGTGATCAGGTCCCATGTCGACGCACAAGCACACGACTGGGTCCAAGGCCGTCCTCCAACAACCCCTGGGCACCAGAATGTAATCTAGCTGCTTGGGGTCGTGGTGAACTTTGTGGCGTGCCTGTTCTAAGTACGGTTGCTTATTGAATACTATGCTCGTCAATGCAAGGTTCCCAATGTTTGCCCGATTATTCAACTACTGATACCGATCATGTCCTTGTCCGTGAGCGTGCGCCCCACGAACTGTGGAATTGTCGTGTATTCCTCCGCTGGTCCTGCCTGCGCGTTGCAATCGGCACCGATCACCGCAAGGAAGTTTCGCAATCTAGCCTTCCTCATGGTTCCAGGCTGTATGTCGTGAGCGCCCTGGGCGTGCTGGTCGCCATATTTATGGTGCGGGAGCAATCACATGATTACTTGTGCCCGTAACTACGCCCACGCGATGCCCACGGAACAGTCACATGCACAAGCTGCGAGACGCGCGGCGACCATGGCCTGCGCAGCAGTGTCCCAGCTCGCATGAACACGTGCCCATCGCTGCATGAGCACGTGCCCATCGCTGCATGAATCGACCGCATGGCCTCTTCGGTTGTGACCAGCGTATACCCCAAACCACCTGCAAGAGCTCCATACATATATACATACATAAAGAAATAAATACATCATATTTCGTGAAACCGCGCACACTCTGCTGAATTATCGTGAGCGGTACATGTATCCATCTATGTGTATCTATATATAGAGAGAGAAAGCAGGGGGGAAGAGGTCGGCGAAGGATGCGTAAACAGGTAGGGGCATCCCCAGGAACTTGAAGGTGAGCTCCTCTGTCTCGCCCTCCTCCGTAGCCCACTGGCGCCTATAGTCTGGGCACCGAAGGTACACGGATACCCTCGACTGAAACAAAACTGGTGAAATTCAATACTTGAAAGAACATTGTTAGACTAATGAACTGCAATACCCACTCCCGGTCCCTGTTCCGTTCCGTTGCCTCCAACCCCCCGATACCAGTCAGACTCATCCGTGCCTGGTTCGGGAAACGATTTAGCCTCCCTCTGTTTCATCGGCTCGTCAAATTATCCGTTACAACCTTAGCCACATCTGTCGTACGAAGAATACAATGTTCGTCATACCATGCCACTTTGTTTGTCCTCCACTGTCACCATGGAGAGGTGCCATCAAATACCGGCATGTTCGATGTTTGCTTTACCATAGTTGTCGATCTGATGTTTTGTGAAACCGTTCGCTCCTCCAGCACACGCTCCTCATACGCGAGGTCACTCTTGAACTGCAGTCTATACTTCGAAGGGGAGGACGAGGAGAAGGAGAAAGGGGAGGGGGAGGAGCAGACAAAGGATGATCATATGCATAATCAGGCACGGCAACAGGACTTAGGGGGGCGCGAGTAGGAGGATGGAAAGGAGGAGGGTCTGAGTAAGCCCAAGATGCATACAGGATGGTGCAGCACACTCTCCCGTCCTCCTTCCTCCTCCTCCTTCCCACTCCTCCTCCTTCCCCTCCTCCTCCTCCTCCTCCTCCTCCTCTTCCTCCTCCTCCTTTTCCTCCTCCTCCTCCTCCTCCTCCTCCTCCTCCTCCTCCTCTTCCTCCTCCTCCTCCTCCTCCTCCTCCTCCTCCTCCTCCTCCCCCTCCCCTCCCCCATCCCCCCCCTCGTCAGCCCTCACGGGCACTCCTTCTCACGGTGGGAGGCGCCCCAGTCGAGAGAAACGAGCGCCCCCTCCCTGGCCTCACGCTCGGGCGAACACACGGCGGCCTTAGAGTCCCAGCTCCTCCTCCTCGTCCTCCTCCTCTTCCTCGTCCTCCTCGTCCTCCTCCTCCTCCTCCTTCTTCCTTCCTCCCTCCTCAGAGTGGCAAGGCCAGCAAAATCCCCAGGGCACGTCCAGCACGAGCCCCAGGACACGTCCAGCACGAGTTCCAGGACACCTCCAGCAAGAGCCCCAGGACACGTCCTGCACGAGTCCCAGGACACCTCCAGCAAGAGCCCCAGGATACGACCAGCACGAGTCCCAGGACACGTCCAGCAAGAGTCCCGCTCTGGTAAGGGGGGGCGCCCTCCATCCGTGCAGCCGTAGCCGTCGCCGCCGCTGTCGCCGCCGCCGCCGTCGCCGTCGTCGTCGTCGTCGTCGTCGCCGCCGCCGCCGCCGCCGCGGCCGCCGCCGTCGTCGTCGTCGCCGTCGTCGTCGCGGTCGCCGTCGCCGTCGTCGCCGTCGTCTCCGTCGTCGTCGTCGTCGTCGCCGTCGTCGTCGTCGTCGCCGTCGGAGAGGCCAGCGCGGGGCCAACGGCGGAGCGGCCGGCAGAGCGCTGCGGTCCTCCTTCTTCGCCTCGGCCATCGTGTGGCGCACGCGCATGCGCTCCGTGGCCACCCTCACCCGCCTCGCCTGGGCGGGGCGCTTGGCGCGCTGGGGCGGGCGGGGATGCGCAGGAGGCTTCTGTGTACCACCACCATGCCAGGCCAGTGCCAGCCTGAGCCCTGGCATGGTGCACCAACCCAGCGCTGTTTATCAAAGTCTTTGACGCTTTCCCCTGACAGCCGATTTCGGTAAGCACTTGCCTATGCCAAAGATTCGACCCCGTGACGCGCGGCATTTAGCGGAATGCCCTCAGTTTCTCAAGAATCAGCCATCCCCAATGATTGGGTATCATACATACCCTGTAAAAAATCTAGATGCCAGATTGCCAGATTGATTGAGCGTTTCAGAACGTTCCCGCTTGCCCAGTCGGGCTTCCCGCTAAACTTTTCCCGGGCCACGGGTTCTCAAGGAAGGACAGAAGGGCCCCAAAAGACCTCCAACACGGTTCAGGATACCCCCGAGACGGATAAAGAGCGCCCCGGGACGCTCAAGGCGGACCAAGAGGCCGCGGATCAGCGATATCCGCTCTGGTACAAGGGCGAGGAGCCCTTGCGTGCAAGGGCCTTAAGCCAACATGGCAACGAAGGAGTGGGAGGAGGAGGAGGAGGAGGAGGAGGAGGAGGAAGAAGAGGAAGAGAAGGAGGAGGAGGAGCAGGAATCCGCAGGCTGTAAGGATGAGGAGGAGAAGGATTGGTGAGAAGGGAGAGAATGGAAGGGGGGGAGGATGGGGAGGACGAAGGAGAGGAGGCTGGAGGAGGGCAGGACGGAGGACGACCTCCCAGCCGGCGCCTGCGCGGCGGGGTCGGCCGGCTGGCCCTGCTGCTGCACCCCGCGGGCGTCGGACGCGCCGCCTGGGCGGCATAGCAGCGGCCGGCTCCTCCTGCTCCTTCTGCACTGGCTCCCGCGACAGCGGGCGGCATCGATTGCGTCGACTGACCGCTGCGTTGATGCTCCTCCTGCTGCTCCTCCTCATCATCGTGATCGTCACCACGATCACCATCACCATCATCATCACCATCATCAACATCATCATCAGCAGCAGCATCATCATCATCGTCATCATCGTCATCGTCATCGTCATCAGCAGCATCAGCACCATCAGCATCATCATCATCATCACCATCATCAGCAGCATCATCATGAGCATCAGCATCATCAATGTAATCAGCATCCTCGTCATCATCATCATCATCATCGTCATCATCATCATCAGCATCATCATCAGCATCATCATCATCATCATCATCATCATCACAGACACCATCACCATCATCATCAACAGCAGCAGCATCGTCATCATTATCGTCATCATCATCAGCAGCAGCATCGTCATCGTCACCATTATCATCATCGTCAGCATCAATCTCATCAGCAGCGTCATCATCATCACCATCGTGATTCGCATCATCATCACTATCAATATCACCATCACCATTAATATCATCATCACAATCATCAGTATAACCATCACCACCACCATCATCATCAACGACAACAGCAACACCATCATCCTCAGTAGCATCATCATCATCAACACCGTCATCACCATCGACACCATCATCATCATCATCATCACCACCACCACCAGCAGCATAGTCATCACCATCACCATCACCACCATCATCACCATCACCATAAACATCACCATAACCATCACCATCCTCACCATCATCATCATCATCATCAGCATCAGCATCATCATCGTCATTGTCATCGTCATCGGCATCGCCATCATCGTCATCATCATCACCACCGCCATTATCATCATCAGCAGCATCATCATCACCACAACCATAATCATCATCATCACCCGTATAATCATTATCGTCATCATCGCCACCATCGTCATCCCCATCCTCATCACCATCATCAAACTCATTATTCAAATCACTATCGTCATCATCACCAGCATCATCATCATCACTACCATCACCATTACAATCACCATCATCATCACCACCATCATCATCATAACCATCAGCATCATTTTCATTATCGCAAATCACGCGACCGCAGTCGCCGCCTTCGTCGTAGTCGTCATCATCACTGTCATGCGTAGCCAGCTCGGTCACAGAAGCCGTACGCGGGGCGCGCACACGAACAGCAGCGGGCTGCCGATCGGGCCCGCTCGGACCTCGGACGAGCGGCGGCGGAGGCTCGAATCCTGGGTGCCTGACGCGTGTTCCTGCGGATGGTTTGACGCTCCTGTCGGTTGTCCCTGTCCCCAGGGGGGGAGGGTTCCTCAGCCTGTTGCGTCCGTGCTCGCGTGACCACGGTGTTGCTCAGCCTGTGCTGTAGCGCTGTGGATGCCACGACAGTGGGCACCCTAACAGTCCTATCATTGAATCAAACATGTGCTTAACATGTCGGAAGCATGTTCTAAACCTGCTTCAAGCATGCTTCAAACATGTTTTAGACATCTGGCAATTATTTGACAACATGTTTCCCCTCCATTGATCGTCCTCCACAACTGTAGCGACGGCGACGGGGATGGGTTTATGCTCCTAACGATTGTCCGTCCCCAGGGGGGGGAGGGTTCCTCAGCCTGTTTGAAGGGAAACTGGAACACACGAATAAATAGACACAAATAACCAGATTCCCCATATGTTCCCATAGTTTCTGGGTGTCTGTCTTCCCCCCCACTTCCCATATGTTCCCATATTTTCTGGGGAATCGACGCTGAATTGGGTCTGTGTGTTTTTTCCCCCTCCTGACTGCTGCGTCCATGCTCGCGTGACCACGGTGCTGCTCAGCCTGTGCTGTAGCGGACGGGGAGGAGCTCCCCGCCCGGCGGCCGTGGCCCTCGCCGCGCTGCAGGCGCCCAGGGGCGAGGGGCGCAGGCGGCGACGCCTGCGCCGCGCGCGCCGCCTCGGCCGGCACGCCCCGCTGGGCGGCGGCGCAGCAGCAGTGCTTCCGACACAGGCACGCCGCAGCCAGCTCCTCCTCCTCCTCCTCCTCCTCCTCCTCCTCCTCCTCCTCCTCCCTACCTCCTCTACCTCTACCTCCTCCTCCCCCCTCCTCCTCCTCCTCCTCCTCCTCCTCCTCCTCCTCCCGCTCCTCCCGCTCCTCCTCCTCCTCCTCCTCCTCCTCCTCCTCCTCCTCCTCCTCCTCCTCCTCATGCTCCTCCTCCTCCCCTTCGACACGCAGCGCGCCGTCTGGCCAAAAGAGGGGGGGGCAGAGGAGGGCGGGCCACGGCCGCGGCCCTCGTGGGGCTGGCCTTCGGGCCTTCGGGCGGGCACCCGTCCCGTGCCGCCTCGGCGCGGCGTGGCCCCTCTCCCGAGGAAGGAGTTGAGAGCCGCTGGGCGAGGCGAGGTGCTGCCCGAAGGGTGGCGATCTGCGGCTGCTGGCCCGAGGGCAGCTCCTGACGGGGTCCTTCGGGAGCGGCGTATTATTTTCAGCACCGTCACCGCCACCGTCACCACCATAATCATCGTCGATATAGTCGTCTTCATCATCGTGGCCCGGCCTTTAACTCCTCCTCCTCCTCCTCCTCCTCCTCCTCCTCCTCCTCCTCCTCATCCTCCTGATACTCCTCCTCCTGATACTCCTCCTCCTCTACCTCTACCTCCTCCTCCTCCTCCTCCTCCTCCTCCTCCTCCTCCTCCTCCTCCCGCTCCTCCTCCTCCTCTCCTCCTCCTCCTCCTCCTCCTCCTCTCCTGCTCCTCCTCCTCCTCCTGTTCCTCCGCCTCCTCCTCCTCCTCCTCCTCCTCCTCCTCATGCTCCTCCTGTCGCACGCAAGTACATCTCGCCAGAACTACTCCTCTGTCCCCAGCCTTTTGCTGGAATCATCTGGCCAAGCGTTCAGACTTGGGGGAGGCGTCCACCCACGAGCTTCGATATCACCTTCTTACCCCAATGTGCGGGAGGGGGCACTGGCCCGCAAGTACCCGCAAGGACGCGTCCGTGGTCAGAGAGTCCGACGGTACCTGCCAGAACGCTTCCCTGGGCAGCCTGGAAGGTACCTGCCAGGACGCTCCCCTGGGCAGCCCGAAGATACCTGCCAGGATGCTTCCCTGGGCAAGGCACCTTCCCGAGGCTGGCCCAAACTAGCGAGGGTACCGTGCGGCTGGGGGGCGCAGTCTGACCCAGGCTTGTCCATATCCTGAGCTCATCCTGAAGGCGCAGTCGAGCTCGTCAGGTCGATGTGCACCCACCCTGCACACGGCGTCGCGCACCGAGGTGAGGACCTTGAAACACCTCCTCTGGCGACATGCCGAGGCGGGTCCTTCTCCTTCTCCTCCTCCTTCTCCTCCTCCTCCCCCTCCTCCTCCTCCTCCTCCTCCTCCTCCTAATACTCCTCCGCCTGATACTCCTCCTCCTGATCCTCCTCCTCCTGATCCTCCTCCTTCTCCGCCTCCTCCTCCTCCTCCTCCTCCTCCTCCTAGACCGCTGAATTGGACTGACCTGACATGTACGGGCGTTCCGCCTCCTGGTTCTGGTCGACCTGTCAGCCTCGCAACGTTGGCGAATCCTCGCTCGAACCTAGCTGTGGGGCCACTCCTCTAAATAAGTGGACTGGCCCAGCCGCCTCCAAGAGGCTCAACAATCACCTCCAAGACGCCCCCCCAGGAGGCCTCGAAGACGCGTCGTAGAGGCCCCTCAAGAAGCCCACGCAGTGTCCAAGCTGTTTCCAAACCACTTGCGTTTGACCAGGCGCGCTGGGGCGAAAGCGTCCTTCTGACAGCGGGATCTTCCCGGATCGGCGGCACCGGCCGGAGGCCTCTACGATAAGTGGACTGGCCCAGCCGGGTGCAGTCAGCGGCCCAGGCCCTTGCTGCAGGGGGGCATCACGGCCGGGGGCACCACGACCAGGGGATCCCCAGCCTCCTGCGGGCAGACTCTGGGGCCCTCGGGCTGCCCCCGAACTGTGCAACAGACCGCCGAAGAATGACGCTCTCCTTCGGCTACACGCAGGAGCGACCCTGGGCAAGAGTGACCTTTGGTGCGCGGCTTCTGGGGGGGCCGCTGGGGGACCACGCACAGCCGCGCAAGACGCTGCCACTGCATCGCGCTCGGCGACCCGGGGACCAACTAATGCCCGCACCAGAGGTCACTCCGGCGAAAGGTCACTCTTACGGCTAGCCGCTCTCTACAGCACGTGCAGTGGGGAGGAGGCACAGGAGGCAGGATCAGTGAAGGGGCCCTGGGACACACAAATGCATACACACAAATAACAGGATTCCCCATATTGTCCCATATCTTCTGGGTTTTTGCCCCCCCCCCCCCCCCACACACACACACTTCCCATATTTTCCCATATTTTCCGTGGGAGTGGACGATTCATTGTGTCTGTGTGTTAATTCCCCTTCTGAAATGCCGTGGGGAGGAGGCACGGGAGGCAGGATCAAGGAGGAGGAGGAGGAGGAGGAGGAGGAGGAGGAGGAGGAGGGAAGAGGAGGAGGAGGAGGAGGGGGAGGGGAGGAGGAGAGGAAGGGGAGGAGGGGGGAGGAGGAGGAGGAGGAGGAGGAGGAGGAGGAGGAGGAGGAGGAGGAGGAGGAGGAGGAGGAGGAGGAGGAGGAGGAGGAGGAGGAGGAGGAGGGGGGGGAGGGGGAGGGGGAGGGGGAGGAGGAGGAGAGGAGGAGGAGGAGGAGAGGAGGGAGGGGGAGGGGGAGGCGGAGGGCGGAGGAGGGGGAGGAGGAGGAGGAGGAGGGAGGAGGAGGAGGAGGAGGAGGAGGGAGGAGGAGGAGGAGGGAGGAGGAGGAGGAGACAGGCAGGATGAAGGAGGCAGGGGGGCAGGGGCGCAGGGCCGACGGCGCGTCGGCGACGGCGAGGATGACGCAGTGAGAGGACGGCGCTCGGCGGACCGCCCGCCTGGCTCGCCCGGCGCCCTGGGCGAGTGCGGCGCCCCGGCCCCGTGGTGCATGCCGATGGGCCCGTCTTCCACCACCGCCACCACAAGTTGGAGGGGGGAGGAGGAGGAGGAGGAGGAGGAGGAGGAGGAGGAGGAGGAGGAGGAGGAGGAGGAGGAGGAGGAGGAGGAGGAGGACGAGGAGGAGGAGGAGGAGGGAGGGAGGACGAGGAGGAGGAGGAGGAGGGGAGGAGGCGGACCCCCTCCACCTCCTACTTCTGGTGGCGGCGGCGGACAACGGGCCCACCGCATGCGGTTGAGGTACAGCTGCTGGAACTCCGCCCGCAGCTGCCTGCCCGCCCCACCCGGGCGGGAGCGGGCCGCGCGGCGGCGGCGCGCTCGGGCGGCTCCTGCCCCACAGCCTCGAGGAGCAAAGGTTTGGATCCCCGCCGCGGCCGCGAGCGGGCCGGCGGAGCGAAAGCTGAACTTAACGACCAGGACCCCTCCAAGGGGCCCCTTGAGAGGCATCCAGGCGAGCCCCTCAAGAGGCACCCAAGAAGCTCCCGACCCAAGGGATAGTTTCCGAGATCGTCGCAAGCACTCGTTCCTTCTAGGGGGTCGACGGGATGGCGCAAGCCACTTGAAGAATGACCTGGACCTGGCGCAACAGGCAGGCCAGGCCCCGGGGAAGGCGCCAACGGGGCTTCGTGCGCTGTTGATGACAAGTGCGATACTTCAACCGTTCAATCTTCAATTACCCGTTTGCCAGTACATGGCTCAATCAAAATCTCCACCAAATAACTGGGTCCAAAAGGGAGAGAGGAGGTTGGAGACGGGGGGAAGGGAGCAGATGATAGGAAATAGGAGGAGGGAGAGGAGGAAGAAGAAGGGGGAAAGAGGAAAGAGGAGAGATGGGGAGAAAATGGAGGATGAAACGGGAGGAGGGGGAGGAGGAGGACGGAGGGGAGGGAGAAGTGGTGACGAGGGCATAACGTAGGGAGGGATGGGAGGAAGGGAGCCTGGGAGAAGGAGAGATGTGGAGTTGGGTCATGCGCATGGAGCACCATGCGTGCAACAACCCACCTGCGCGCGAAGCCCCCTGACCTGCGGAATCCATGCGAGCGGACTCCCGATGATGTGGAACTCCACATGTGCGGAGCCGCATGTACGTCGTGGACAAAGAATGTAAAGGGGCCCAGGGACGCACAAAGAGATGGACACACATCCGAAGATTCCCCCGTGTCTTGCTCCATCTTCTGGGTGTTCGTCCTCCCCCCCCCACCTCCCACATGTTCCAACATGTTCCTGGGAGTCGACGATTCATCGTGTCTGTGGGTTCTTGTCCCCTCCGGAGAGTGGGGCGGCACCGCAGGTCCCCGGCCGTCCTGGGGCTGGCGTCCCCCCGTGGCGGAGAGAGCCTGGACCTGGCAGAGCTTGCCTGGCATACCAGGGCTTACATCGGGAGCGGCCAAGAGGGGGGTGTCCAAGAGGGGGGGGTGCAAATCATGAACGGCGGCATGTGCGCGGCCCAGCGGGGGGGCCAGGGACGTAATGAAATAAGACGAGGCGCCATGAAATCTGAGGAAAAATATCATGGCCCCCGCCATGATATCCCCCCCCCCTAGTCATCACCCCCCTCTTTTCCGCCCCCGATAACAAGGCTTTGCAGA